ATAAAATGATTTAAAAAAAAACATTTACCAATACAAGAATTCTCAAAGATTCCAAAAAATTGAAATTCTCAAAAATTATAGGTATTATAAAGGAGCCCTGGTGGCAAGGACAGTTACGTTTGGGGCTGCGAACTTCCATGTCAGCAATTCAAATATACCAGCTGCTCCCCTGGAGAAAGTGGAAATTATCTGTTCTCGTAAATATTTACGGTTGCTATGAGTCCAAATAGACGAGATAACAGTGGATTTGAAAGGGGGTGGAGGTTATTTGGCTGGTATTATGGACTGAATTGTGTCCCCAAGTTCTTGTGCTTAATTCCTGGCCCTTTTGCCTGTAGATCGCATTCAGTTTGAAAATAAGGGGTCTCTTTGTAATGCTAATGCAGCCATGCAGATATAGCATGGAAACCAAAGCTAATCACAGTTGCTATAAAAAGACCAGTGCAGACACAGAAACACACAGATGGAGCAAGACAAGTACCTTGTGAGAATCTTCTATAAGTCAAGAAATACCCTGGAACCAAGGACTACCCACCAACAAGAAAGTAACTGACATAGCCTAGAATCTGATTTGCACTTTTAGCTTATTTAAAAAACCCTCTCCAAATTCACTGCCATGAAGTTGATTCTGACTCATAGTAACGCTACAGGGCAAGTATAACTACCCTCATGGGTTTCTGAGACTAAATTTTGACTAAATCTTTCTCCCAAAGAGCGAGTGGTGGTTTCAAATTATTTCAAACTGCTGACCTTGCAGTTAGCAGGCCAACTGTTAACACACTCTGCCACCAGGGCTCCTGACGACTTGTACCCACTCTGCCACCAGGGCTCCTGACGACTTGTACCCACTCTGCCACCAGGGCTCCTGACAACTCGTACCCACTCTGCCACCAGGGCTCCTGACAACTCGTACCCACTCTGCCACGGGCTCCTGAAGAACCATCCACTTCTGTCCTATCAGCCGCCCCCTGGGGGGTCAGCTGTACTAGGAAATTAAGGCATCTGGTAACTGGGGAAACTGGCAAAATTCTTAGCAAAGACAACAGTTCTGTGCCAGTAACGAGTGAGGCTGACCCCATTTCATCTGTCACTCTGTCGTACTGCAGACACTCTCGAAAAACAAGACTCCAGGAGTTGATGACATACCATCTGAAATGGTTCCACCAATGCAGGACAGGAAGTGCTCACTTGTCTCTGGCAAGAAATTGACTAGATGAGATCCACGTTTGTACCCACTCCAAAGAAAGGTGATCCAAAAGAATGTACCCATGATCGAAGGATATAACCAGTATGTCCCACACAGCTAAAATTTTGATCAAGATCTTTTTAAATGTTTGTGGCAGGACATTTACAGGGATATGTCATGGGTGATGTCAGATGGATCTGGGCTGAAAGCAGAGAATACTAGAAGGATGCTTACTATTTTATGGACTCTGTAAAAGCATTCAACTCTATACTAATTATGGATAATATTTCAAAGAATGGGAATTCCAGAATAATTAACTGTACTTGTGTAGAACATGTATTGACAAAGAGGTAGTCATTAGCGAGAACAAGGGGATACTGCATGGTTCCGAGGTTTGTATCTTGTCATCATACTTACTCAATCCATCTACCGAACAAATAACCCAAGAAGCTGGAGGACATGATGTAGAATTTAGCCTGAGGCCTGGAGAAGACTCATTAACAATCTGCAACATGCAGGTGGCACAAGTTGGTTGAAAGGATGACTTGGAGTGCGTTTGATGAAGATCAATGATAGCCTTCAATATAGATTACACCTCCACATCAAGAATGCAAAAATCTTTACAACTGAGCCAATAAATAACCTCCTGATAACAGAGAAGACGGAAGTTGCCAACGGTTTCATTTAACTTGGGTCCATGGCCAGTGCTCATAGAAGTAGCAGCTAGGGAATTAAATGAAGTATTGCATTGGGCAAATCTAATGCAAAAGACTTCTTTAACATGTTAAAAAGCAAAGATGTCACTTCAATGACTAAGATGTGCCTGACTCAAGCCATGGTTTTGTTTTAACTGCCTCATATTTGAAAACTGGACAAGGAATAGGGAACTTAGAAGAACGGATGCCTTTGACTTCAGTTATTGGTGAAGAATATTAAATACACCACTAGACTGCCAGAAGAATAAACAAACTGTTCTGGAAGAAGTACAGCTAGAGTGCTCCTTGGAAGTAAGGATGGAGCGACTTAGTCTCACCATGCCACAGGACTCATCAGTCCCTGAAGAAGGACATCATGTTTGGTAAAGTAGGTCAGAGACAAAAAGGAAGACCCTCAACAAGATAGACTGATGTAAAGGCTACAATGGGTGCAAGAGTCGGAACGGTAGTGAAGATTACGCAGGACTGTGCAGTGCTTCATACAGGATGACTGAGTCAGAGCCGACTCAAGGGCACTATTCACAACTGCACTAGGTGGAACTGAGGATGAACACTCTCCGCATTCCAGCAAATCCACTCCGGGCACATTTCCTACACCCACCAGCACATGTGCACAACCTTCCTCCCCAAGAATGTTCATCCTAAATTGTTGGGCATATTACAAAATTGGGAAAAATTTAAAAGTTCCTTAGAGAAAGGTATAAATAAATGGTATATTGTTACAAAAGGGAAGTTTACCCAGCAGATAAATCACTAGAGCTACCT